CACACACACACACACACACACACACACACACACACACACACACACACACACACACACACACACACACACACACACACACACCCCACAGAACCACTGCAGATGTCACCCCACTGGTTCCAAATAACAACAGAGAAAGAAAAACAAACTGCATGTCCCAAGGTTCTGTGTATCACCTTTTTTTTTTTTTTACAAAAAATAAGTTTCGTCTCAAACTCTATGAATATAAAAATCAAACATTCAATCTTATATGTGGAAGATTTCTATGTGATAAATTACCTTTTATAATCATTCAAGGTCTGTAGAACTAGAATAGTGCCTAAAGTAAGAGAAAGCAGTAATAAAAATATAAATAAAAAAATAACTGCACAAACTGTGGTTCAAACATAAAAAATAGGTGTGGCACTAAAGTTGAAATAGTTAAAAAGATAAAGACTGGAATTGATATTTTCACTTTCATGATTTGTATTCAATTCATTGTGACAACATCTCTTTCCAAAAGCAGCACATCTAAAACACAACAGCGAATCACAAACTGGTCAGTCCAGTGAAAGACGAAAATAAAAAATTGCAAGAAAGAGACAAACTTCTCAGATCCACACATCTGGTTTACCATTTGACAATTCTCTGAATCAGTCCTGATCCACAGAAAGTTACTCACTGTCATTGAGCTGTTTTGAATGGAATGGACAAACAAACATGTCTGCATTCAGATGGACAGACAGTGCAACACAAAATTAAAGTTCATTCAAAACAGGCCTCAACACAAGCTTTTGGACAGTTTATAAATCACTCCAACATTCTCAAACTGCATCAGAAAGATCAGTTTATGCTTGAATTGGGAATTCACATAGTACTTTTTTTCTATTCTACATTTCATCTGTGGACATGAAATCACAACCTGCTTTCTTATCTCACAGTGATTTTGGGTATTTTACAATTAGCTAACCTAAGATCACATGACATACTGAATATATACTGTGTGTGTGTATCTGGTTTATTTGCAGTAAATACTTGTCAAATCTTTTTTTTAACTTGGCATAAAGATCACACGCAGACATTTCATTGCCACTTGTCCACTTCTGTATAAATTGATCCTTAAGTCTCTGTTTAACTTAGCATTTAATTAAATTATCATCACATTTCTGTTCTAGCCGGGTATAAGAAAATCCCCATTTATCTAGAATTTGTTTAACACAACTAATAAGAAGTGATTCATAAAACCCATTATTATATAATTCTAAAGAACTGAATTTCTAAATATTCATACCACTCGTCCTGTGACCATTTCCCCTCAACTTACAGCTAGTTTGGTGGCACACATATTAAGATATAAGAAATATATTTTAATATTGTGACTAAAACAATATGGAAGTGTCTATGACAAAACATATACAGTTCATCTGTTCTTATGAAGAACTATATAACTGAGATGACAACTGTGTGACAACTTGTAACTTAAAGTAACAATTTGCAACATGTTTGTCCACCAATCAAAAACAGAAAGGTTTTCAATTATACATGTGTCTCTGCAGTTCACCATACAGAAAAAAAATCCTGTCAAGGTTTTTATTTGTCAGTGACAAGGCTGATGCAAAAAGAGGGTAAAAAGAGCTGACATCTGGCTTCTGCCAAAAAAAAATCATTTTAACAAGAAAAGTGGGTTTGCAGTTTTTGTTTGATTTGTTTAATTAGTTTTTGCTTAGAAATTGGAGGCCTGCATTTTTTTATTGACAAAACCATACATCTTAATAACTGTTTTATTAAGTTTTAAAGCATTGTAGCTTTTATAGATTTGTTATATTTTTGTTCTATTATACAAATGCTAATGTGCTTATGACAAAGGTCCCAGAGGAAGTAACGGTTATCCAAAACTGTTTGCTTTGTAGTGTTTTTCAGTACACTTCTGAAGAATGCTTGGGCGTGCTTCTTTCACTGCAGCGGGCAACCTCAGGTTCCTCTGCTTCCCCAGCATTTCTACATCTGTAGAAATGCTGGGGAAGCAGAGGAACCTGAGCCTTTGCAAGTCTTTTAATCAGTGCTATATTTAATTGAGCTGTATTTTTAACAGGAAAATCAATAGAAGTCTTAGCTTCGCTCTGATCATTAAGTCAGATCTCTTGGTTGCCATAAATAGTTTCTCATATCTAATTATATTTTTTCATGTCTGCAGTAATTAAGACATGGGGTTTTACTGGGCTCTTGTTATACAACGACTAAACATGTTAATATGCATTATGGATTTCTACTTTATTTCATACATATTTCTGTCTGGTGCTGTCCATTCAGTTTATCTTCCCTCTTAGTCTGCCTGGCAGTTTATTTTACGGTTGAATATATAACAATACAATAATAAAAAGTTTATTTTATTTTTTTTGCATCCTATCATTTTTATTACCGGTAGTTAAGAATTGCAGATATGGCTGTGACAATATGATTTTATGAAACTTTAACAAATGCCACTTTCTTTTTCTTGCCTGTTTAGCTATAATAGTGACATCTTTTTTTTTTTGACAATATATTGTAAAGAAGACACATCATGCTTTTAAATCCTTTAATTTCACATTCAGATCGTTCATTTGGGGTCTATATAAAGTGGAACTGCAATGCTTTGGTCTGAATTCCTACTTATTGTAACTCCACAAGCCCTTCTTTCACCCCTTTTCTGAGCTGTGTCTCAGATCAACTCGTTTTGAGGCTGTCTCCTTAAAAGCAAATGAGAGGCTTTACACCCTGCACACCTCCAGCTTCTAGAGTGGTCCATTCTAGTTTTAAAAGGGGTGTTTACAAGTATATAGCAGCGCAGAAACTTTTTATTTACAGATTAATCAAAAGATGTCATCAAAGACGTGTCCATCCAGCCTTACATGTTGGAGCCAAAGTCTGACCCAGAGCCAGAGGAGAATGAAGACCACAAAATTGTAGTTGGCAAGTCCTGACCTTATTTTGAAGTTCTGCTGCAAAAACTGTGATTTAATAGTTCAGAAAATGTCATAGAAAATAGAGAAAACTGAATGGATTGAAAAATATGATCCAAACAGAATATAAAGATACCTATGCAGCACCAGGAGAGAGTAAATTCAACTTCTCTGCACCCCTAGAAACTCCACACAACTAAATGTAAAAATGTATTTTATGACTAAAAAGTGGATTTTGCATATGTCTTTAAAGCTTTTTCTCAGCAAAATAAAATTGCAAAGGTTTTGCTGAAAATACTGCATATGTATAAGATCTTTCAGACGAACATCACAAGTTAAGAAGTATGAAGTTTCTTATCAGAGTAAAAAACTCTTGATATTTCTTCAAATGATGACAACAAAAATATCTTAACAGTTATCAGCTAAAAAGTCCTGTCTCACTCCTTTCTTTTCAGTATTTTATTTTGTGAAAGTGAGTTGTGTTGTGTCCTAAAACTTTAGGCACCTCATGATGAACCCTTATCTAACAGTGAGTGAGAACAGAGGCAAGCTATTTGTCCACATGAGACTTCAGTGTCACTAAGGTTCTGTTCCAATCTGGCTTCTACAACCTTTCGCTAAATTTATAAATGTACACATATACATGGGAGGTCCACAACATTAAGTGCCTTCCCAAATCAACTAGCCTTGAGTGAGAGTGAGTTAAAGAGCCCTCAAACACTTAGTCTGGATCGATGGAGGCTTAGAAACCACACTTCTCCTACTTCAGCACCTGTTTTGTGTCTGGAGTGAAGGAAACTCATCACACTGACTATAACGTAGTGTTTTTGTTGTTGTTGGGGGAAAAGGGAAATATTTGAAGTTGTGTGTAGGAAACAAATTTTATTAAATGGCAGATTCTATGAAGTAATTTATTTTTAGGACAAGTGTTTTTAGGAAGAATTGTGTTATTTTGAAAGAATCTGCTAATAACTGTTGTATAATACTAGGATTATGGGGTATACCAGTTTGTATTTGAAATGTATATTCTCAAATTCAAATATTAATATTTTATAAGATGGAGACATGCTGTTTTATTACATTTTATGGTTCTGAGGCACTTTATAATGTTAATTAAAAGCTTCCCTTTGTGGTAAAGCAGTATAAAGAAGCTTATGACCATAGCTTTAATCTTTTTTTTGATATTGTTTTAAATGTTGTAATAAGGTCCTGTGTTACTGTATCCTGCTGCAGAAAGCCTCACTGACTTCGCTGTCATTGATCTTTTTCTCCACTAATTTGCTCTCATAAAATGATTAAATCTTTAGAACTGTAATAATGACACTTGCAAAACCTGGTAGACAAGCAATAAAACAAGTAAATAAACAAATTAATAGCAAGTGTTTGAGGATATGTTTTTTTTTTTTATTTGCTACTGTTGTATTTTCAATGGGGCCAGCCACAGCAACATAAAGCTTAAGCAGCAAGCTTTTACTGTGAAATCAATAAAACAGATAATGTTGACAAGCCTTTTTCATAGCTCTTCCATCTCGCTCCTCTTCTCCTCCTTCCATTCTCACAACAGTAAAGTGTCTCGACTGTTGCTATTATTATTCTCTATACATAAGCAAGCCATTACAAGCAGACACAGCAAAGCAGGTATCAGTGTAAAACAGACAAACTGCAACCAGATTTAGCATTTTGCTTGAATTTTCTTCACCTTAACAATGCTCTGCTTGAGTGAGAGTATAAATCATTATATATATATATATATATATATATATACTGTATATACTGTATATATTTAATATAAAATATAAAATTTTGGTCTGTTCTTGATTAATTCTGACAACAGAAGATCTATGTGTGTGTTATTAGTCTACAGGCCAGAATATAACAAGCAACCTGCCTCCTACAACTAAAGAAACCTTTTATTATTTTAAAGTTGAACAGTGTTCTTCAAACTAATTTTTCATTTAAGGAGAAAAAAGAAGAAACATTACAGTTTATTTAGATGGTATGAACTACAACATAGGTCAGCAGATGTAAAAAAAAAAAAT